TTTCCCTAAACATTGTACGGTATTTGTACACCAAGTCCTCGCCAAATTCACTAGGGCCAATTTCACCCCCCTGTGTATTCATTTAAAAATCACCCCAATTTAAGGGCTGTTTCAAACAAATTGGTTTTAAGGAAACCAATGACCTGGACTGCGCACATGAGTCAGCGGAAAAACAAAAGAAACATGGTCGCAGCGGAAGATTCAGTATTTGCGTTGCAATCTCAACGTCAGAAGGGGCAACATCGAAATGTCACAATGCCTCGGATAGCCTTTAGTTCGTGGATGTCTTACCCTCTATAGCCAAATAAGGTCAGTTTGGTTATCCCTTGACTGAGTGGGTTACGAGGTGTGCTTTCAACCCCTTCAAGTCGAAATTCGTTTCCCCCCTCCCCCGCAATTTTGTTTCCCCCCTCCCCCGCAATTTCGTTTCCCCCCCCTCCCGCCAATCTGTTTCATCCCTCCCGCCATTCGGTTTCACCCACTCCCGCCATTTCACCCCCTCCCGCCACCTACGAAATGCCCGAAGCTCTAGCGGAATCATTTTTTTGTCGCCCCTCGTGAGCCAATCACTGTTTTTCTCCAAACCCCCTTCCCAACATCTCAAGCCGAACCGCGTTGAATGTGCACCCTGGTTATTGGCGAGGACTGTGTGTATCTTCCGTAACATTATGTCGCCCTCAATGTCTAGGTTCGTGAATGTCGGTCAGTTCAGGAGCAGCATTCCCCCGTACGACGTGGCGGCCCGTGACGACCACACAGAATCCAAACATCAAACGTTCTCTCTGGGGTTTGGGGTGGGGTGGAGCCTCTTAGGACGCGGCACCTCAAGCAATTTTGCACGATCAATCGCAGGTTCGCTGATTCAACCGTACTGAAATCCTGCTGAAAGCCTTTAAAGCTTTTGAAACCATTTAAAAATCCTAAAACATTCATCCTGCGCAGGTTCGATCGCAGGATCGGTGCTGTAGGTGCCGCGTCCTTAGAATCCAGACCACACCGGTCTGGCTTTGTGCGTCAGCTCGGAGTTTCTGTTCTCCCGAACATCCTCTCCATACCTCCCACCTCCGAATCAAACCAAACATATCCGCGTTACAGAGCCCCCCTTGTGCGAGTCAGGGCAGGACTGAGGACAGGACTCGAAAACCAGCTACGGGAAGCATTCACAGTTCACTCACCTGCCGCCACTCAAAACTCGTTCGTGCACTTGGCTTCAATAAGTTGTTTCGTGAATTGCCCAAGTTCTTCCGTCACTCTCCAGCACACATCTGAGCCAGCAGCAGCAGCAGCAGCGGCAGAGACACGTCCATACTTCGTCGCTACTGTTATTCTGTTGTGCCTCTCGTCGCTCTATTCCGCCTCTCAGCAATCTAGCGCCATGGCGGCTCTCGCACGCTCAGCAACCGCCTTGTGCGGCTCCACGGGGCTCCACAGCACAGCAACGGAGCTTCACCGTCGCGCACACCAGCACAACCTCTGCGCGAATTCACCGTCGAAATTCTCCTTAACCAGTCGCTCCAGCCCACGCCAGCGACGCGGCTCGCGCCCCGCGCCAGTGACGGTCTCAGCGTCCGCGCAACAACAGCAGCAGCAGCAGCAGCAACAGCAGGAGCGAGCGAGGGAGGCGAAGGAAGTGGCGATGGATAACGGCATGGTGGAGGGGCCCGCGGTGCGAGTGCTGGGCACCGTGATGACCGACGAGACGGTCCCCGAGGGTCACCAGGGGCTGCACGGGTTCCTGTACGGCTCGCAGGGCGCAGGTACGGCCACTCTCGACTCGTTTTTAAAGATTGAACGGCTAACTAAACGGCTCGCAGGGCGCAGATACGGCTACACTCGACTCTTTTGAATAGATTGAACAGCTTCCCAAACGGCTCGCAGCGCACAGGTACGATGAGACGACTTTGAGGCGCGGGTTAAACGGGTTCCTCTACCGCTCTCCGTGGGATAGGCGCGGGTTATATGAGGAATTGGGCCCAGGGTCGTGAGAATGCGACTAGTTGTGTGGGAATTGAGGGAAGCTAGGACTGAGGGGAGGGAGTGGGGAGAAATTGGCGGCAGGATTGTCCTTGAAGGTCCTTGTGAAAATTCTGTAAGCTTATGCAGCCTTTGCCTCCCTCCTCTATCTATTTTCCCCCTTTCACATCCTTCCCTGATCTTTCTCCCGTCTATCCTCCATTGTCCCCTCTCCTGTCCCGTTCTCTCTGTGTGTCACAGACGTGCACGACGCGCCGTCGCAGTCGTACGCGTTACAGCAGGGCGAGGACGACGGGTCGCTGCAGCTGCCGCTCTCCGACTACGTCGCGCGCCGCGAGACGCTCAAGCTCGCCGGAATCTACGCCGTGTACGACGCGGCGGGCGCGCTGCAGTACGTGGGGTTCAGCCGCAGCGTCGTTCTCGCGCTCAAGGGCCACGCGGCGTTCGTGGGCGCGGAGCGCGCGAGCAGCGTGCGCGTGCGCGTGTACAGCGACGCGGCGATGATCACCCGCGCGCGACTCGAGGAGGAGCGGCAGAAGTGGATCCCGCAGCTCATGGCACTGTCCGGTGCCGCTGATTCGCAGAAGTTTCCTCCCGGCAACAGCGCCGACCTGTACGTCCCTTTATCCTAACCTGCCGCCTTCCAACTCCCACACCCCCCTCACATCCCCTCACACCCTCGCACCCTCCCACACCCCCCACCTCCCCCTTTCCGCCCCATCCACCTTCTCTTCTCAACTCCCGCTCTCCCAAAATTTCGTTGTATTGTTCGATTCTCTACCGTCGCTGTACCGTCTCCGCAGAATGCGGCTGACCAGATGTCACCTTTGAGCCATCTTCTCGCCCCAATCCTCCCGAGTCTCATTCTGACTCTTCCTCTCGTGTCTTCCCTTACTTTTGACGCTCTCTTCCCCCCCTCTCTATCTCTCTTCCCCCCCTCTCTCTCTCTCTTCCCCCCCTCTCTATCTCTCTTCCCCCCCTCTCTATCTCTCTTCCCCCTCTCTCTATCTCTCTTCCCCCCCTCTCTATCTCTCTCCCCCCCCTCTCTATCTCTCTTCTCCCCCTCTCTATCTCTCTTCCCCCAATCTCTATCTCTCTTCCCCCCCGCGCGCACATGGGCAGCGCGGAGTGGGAGGGCCCGAGCGGGCCGGGCACGGCGGCGATGAGCGCGGCGGAGGTGGCGGAGTACGAGGAGAAGAAGCTGAAGCTGCGCAAGGCCATGGGGGAGAACCTCGCGGACGCCGTCGCGGACGAGACAGAGGACGCGCGCACGCGCCGCCTCAACCTGCTCAGGGTGAGTTCAGTTCAGCAAACGAACGCACGCACGCACGCACGTTGCTTGCTCTGCCCGGACTGAGCGCACTTCTTGGCTTGCCTCTCCCCTCCTCCCCCTCCAACCCTTCCTTAGTCAGGTTTTCCTGTTTTGCCTTGTACCCTGCCATGCCCGCTTCGTCTTCTCATCATCCCCGTCGCCTCGCATTCACTCTCCCCTCCTAGCCTTCACTTTCCCTCTTGTGCCCCTGCTCCTCTCACTCCTCCCCTCGACTAACCTCTCCTCTCCTCTCCTCTCCTCTCCCCCTACTCCCTCTCTCGCTCTCTCTGTCTCTCCCATCCTTATTCCTCCTCACTCCTCTCAACTCCTCCCCACCGTGCCCTCGTCAACCCGCCCAGGCCACGGAGGGCGACGACTGGAGTTCAGTTATTGACAGACAGACAGCCTCCACTCTACCCACAGACGGCCCTGCTGCTGTTGCCACTGCATCCGCAGCAGCAACAACAGATTCGGCCACAGGCACTATCGTGAGCCCGTTTGCACGGGGCGCGGGCAGCAAAGGAGGGGTGAAGGAGGAGGTTGAGATGACGGTGGCAGCGGTGGATGCGGCGTTGGAGGCAGTAAGGCCGTACCTCATTGCGGATGGCGGCAATGTGGAGGTGGCTGGGATCGCCGATGGCGTCGTGTCCGTCCGGCTGCAAGGTGGGTGCTGATGTTGCTGCTGCGGCTGCTGCTGCTGGTGATGTTGCTGCTACTTCTGCTGCTGCTACTTCTGCTGCTGCTACTTTTGATGCTGGGGCTGGTGATGCTGCTGCTGCTGGTGCTGGTGATGCTGCTGCTGCTGGTGCTGCTGCTGGTGATGATGTGGTTATGGTGATGGCCGTGCTGATGTTGATGATCGTAGCGGAAATTGGTGATGGACCTAAGTCCGTCCATGCCAGACCAAGTGCTTTCCCCCCTTTTCTTCCCCCCCCCCACTTTCCCCTGCTCGCCAACTTTTCTTAACCCCCCTCTTCTTATGCGCACTCACACCCTTGACCCTCCTTTCCACAGGCGCGTGTGGCACGTGTCCCAGCTCCACGGCGAAGACGGGCATCGAGGCGGAGCTGCTGTTTGTCAATTTCCCACTCACCCCCCCTTCCCTCCCCCCTTCCCTCGCCCCTTGCCGTCCTCTTTTCACCCACAGGCGCGTGTGGCACGTGTCCCAGCTCCACGTCCACTATGAAGATGGGCATCGAGGCGGAGCTCCTGCCTGTCACTCAGCTTCCCTCCCCTTCGTTTTCCCCCTCTTTCTCCCCCCCCCCCCCACACACCCCCATCATCTCCCTTCTCTCCCACAGGCGCATGTGGCACGTGCCCCAGCTCCACGTCCACAATGAAGATGGGCATCGAGGCGGAGCTGCAGCGCTGCTTCCCCACGCAGCTCAAGGAGGTCGTGCAAGTGGACGTCATCGACACTTCCGTCACCGTTGCCGTGAGTACTGCCACATACATGCATCGCTCGTTGCTGCTTTTGAGACGCCGGCGCCTCCAAACAGACCTCCCCACGCAGCTCAAGGAGGCCGTGCAAGAGGACGTCATCGACACCTCCGTCACCTCCGATACCGTGAGTACAATTACCGCACACGACCAACCAGACGCCTTGAGATTTGAGCACCGAAACGTTACCCTCTCACGCCCACACATGCGCCTCTTCGTTGCAGTCCACGCTTTCCCCTTCCGCAGCCCCACGCCCCTGACTGCCGCACTGCCTTTACACTGCCGTCTCTGTGGCTGATGATGGTGCACCAGCAGCAGAGCACCCATCTTCCAATATCCCTCGCTCATCCCCACCCTCCATCCCTCCCTCCTCCCCACCCTCCATCCCTCGCTCCTCCCCACCCTCCATCCCTCGCTCCTCCCCACCCTCCATCCCTCGCTCCTCCCCACCCTCCATCCCTCCCTCCTCCCCACCCTCCAACCCTCGCTCCTCCCCACCCTCCATCCCTCCCTCCTCCCCACCCTCCATCCCTCGCTCCTCCCCACCCTCCATCCCTCGCTCCTCCCCACCCTCCATCCCTCCCTCCTCCCCACCCTCCATCCCTCGCTCCTCCCCACCCTCCATCCCTCGCTCCTCCCCACCCTCCATCCCTCGCTCCTCCCCACCCTCCATCCCTCGCTCCTCCCCACCCTCCATCCCTCGCTCCTCCCCACCCTCCATCCCTCCCTCCTCCCCACCCTCCATCCCTCCCTCCTCCCCACCCTCCATCCCTCGCTCCTCCCCACCCTCCATCCCTCGCTCCTCCCCACCCTCCATCCCTCGCTCCTCCCCACCCTCCATCCATTCTAAGCAGGTGGTGGACGGGCATCTGGAGATGCTACGGCCGGCCATCAGTGGATTCAGAGGGCACGTGCAGGCGACGCTCCAGCAGCATGAAAGGATATCTGTAACTTCACTCACTCACCTATCCCTGCTCCATCCCCCCCTCCTCACCCCCCACCGTCCATCCATCCCCAACAGGCGGTGGACGGGCATCTGGACAAGCTGCAGCCAGCATTAGTTGATTCAAGTGGCAGCATGAAATCACTTCTGTCACTTCACTCACTCGCATCGCATCTCCCTGCTCCGCCCCTCCCTCCCCCCCTCCTCCCACCACACCGTCCATTCTAAACAGGCGGTAGACGGGCATCTGGACATGCTGCGGCCGGCCATCAGTGGGTTCGGAGGGCGAGTGCAGGTGGTGGAAGTGAACGAGGCAGAGGGCACATGCCGTGTGGCGTACGAGGGCCCGCCTACTGTTGCCATGGGCATCCAGGCAGCTATTAAGGACAAGTTCCCTGCTCTCAAAACCGTGGACGTTGTTGGGTTCGCGTAACGAGCTAGAACGCAGTTGCCTGTTGGTGAAGTTAACTCTTGGTATGTTTTGAGTGGTTGATTTACCGTATGCTGCTGTTGTGGCACTGCTCTTGTGCGGCGCTGCCTTAATGAAAACATGGCGATCATTTCTCAAGGGCACAACCTGAAGTGATGATATTAAATCATGACCTCAGACTAGCCAGGGAGCACATGCCATGTGGCATAGGATGAGGGCCATGTGTCACCGTTGCCATGGGCACATCCTGGCTGCTATCAAGGACAAGAATCGCATTCTCAAAACCGTGGAGGTTGTGGATTGTGCCTGAACCATTCCATTCCATCTGTGCGGCGAGCGGGCGGCTTCCAGAGCACGAGCAGTGTGAGTTGCAGAAATGGCTTATTAGCCTCCATGCACGAAATTGGCCTGCCTTGGGGAACTGGGGGATTTGTGGTGTGGTGATTATGTCATGTGACTATGACGGAGGCCTGAGCTGGTATGAGAAAATACACCCAGCATTTCCGTGACCCATGGCACGACGAAGCGAGCCAATAAACAGTGTGCATTAGGGCGTATTCCTACGACCTCCTATCAAGAAACCTCCTATCAAGAATGTAGTTCTCGCCTGTAAATTTGCAAGCTCGCGCAACCTCCTATCAACAAAACTTGACGGTTTCCCCACATGTGCGACCCAAAACAAACGCTGATGTGGCACGCTGCGACCCAGCTTGGTCAGACGCTCCGGTTCACATCAAAAGAGCACCACGTAAGCCCATCCACGCCAAGCCCTCACGCCTATTCGTAGTAGTACAAATACTCGCATCGCAACTTACGGCAATCCTGACAATCGTGCCTACAACCCCCGACTATGACGGATGTTCCTTTCCTGCCTAGGTTGTTAATAGTATGGCACGCCTTTTATTACGACACATTCCTGCACAGTGCGCTCAAGTCGTGCATGAAGTTTCTCGAGCAGATAAGCAATGCGGAAGAAGATACCATGATAGTGAGGAGGAGTGAATTGCGTGCTCGAAACCGAAGCTTACGGCGGCGCCGATTAGGCGTGTGGGAGGACGAAATGGCGACCATGCCCGAGGAGGTGTTCATCGACCTCTTCCGCATTAATCGCGCTATTCTGGAATACGTATGCCAAGGAATGGCTCACGTGCTCAACCCCGTCATCCAGCGCCATCGCATCCCAATTACTGGCCGTCCTCATACCAATCAAGTATTTCGCTAGCGCGATGGCGTACGTGGACCTGGCTTTCTGGTTCGGTGTGCCAAAAACCCTATGCCATCGCCTCGTAGACCTCTTCCTCTTAAACTTTCCCACCGTGTTCAAGGCGGCCTGGGTACGTTTCCCGACACAGGATAAAATGCGCGACATGGCGGAAGAGTTTCGGAGTATTAAAGGGGTACCAATGGTTGTAGGTGCTATTGACGGCACACATGTTCAGATTCGGGGGATGGAGGGGCATCGGGCGGAATATTACACGTGGAAATCACAATATGCCGTGCAGCTACAAGTGACATGCGACGCTAAAGGAACCATCTGGGATTACCTAATAGGCTATCCAGGCACCGCGCATGACCAGCGGGTGTTCATCCTGTCTAGCCTCTACGAGCGACTACAAAGAGGTGACCTCGCACCGTACCAGCTGGTAGGAGACGCCGCCTACCCGCTCCGTAGCTACTGCTTGACGCCATTGCATGCTCCCACCGGCCGCCTCATGCTCGAGTGGGAGCAAACCTTCAATTACTGCCAGTCCGCGACTCGTATGCCCGTCGAGCGAACCATTGGTGCGCTGAAAGGACGGTACCTCCTATTTGTCGGCCGCCACGAGTGTGCGTTATGGCGGGTCCTTGCCGGCGCCAGCTGTGTTTGTGATAATAACGAGGAATGAATGAGAGAAGAGGAGAGAGGTTCACTAGCAAACATTGGGATACATATAGCAAACCCTAAAAGGGCTGTACTCACTATAGAGTACCCCACTGCAGACTAGAGAAACATAATATTCTGACACACCCCCATAGTCAAAGTGGGGTGTAATCAGCACAACAAGCAAAGCAGAACAAGCTCAGGGTGGATCACAATGTCACCACACATTCTGAGCACAAGTACAAGAAGCAACAATTTAAAGTTCACAAATGTAAGCAAAGCTAGAGGCTATCGCAGAGGGCAAGTGTGGAGGAGGAGGGACTATGAGAGGAGAGGAGGTAGTGGGCGGCAGCTGAAGCTGCTGGCACACGGCGCAACTGGAGCAACTGGCACACGGGCAACTGGAGCAACTGGCACACTGGCAACTGGAGCAACTGGCACACGGGCTACTGGAGTAACTGGCTCCGCGGCTAACTCTGAGCGGCAGGAGCAACGGACTCACGGGCGACTGGAGCAACGGGCTCATGGGCGACTGGCGCAACGGGCTCACGGGCGACTGGCGCAACGGTCTCACGGGCGACTGGAGCTGCGGGCTTCACGGCAGCCACCCCCTTCAACCTCCCCAAACTATCCCACCCCCATTTCACACACCCCCTACTGCACCCCTAGGTTCACTCACACCCCACCCCCTAGCACCACGCCTTTGGCTCCCACACATCCACCCCCCTCAGCGGCAGCTGCAGCAGTGGGAGACAAAGGAGGAGGAGGGGAAGGGAAACATACCATCCATCACCCCCATACCCGCCACCCCCATACCCTCCATTCCACGGCTGCACGCGCAGCAGGGAGACGAAGAAGGGGGGGGGGGGGGGGGGGGGGGGGAGAGCAGCAACGGGCAGCAACGGGCGGCAATGGGCAGCACAGGGAGGCGGCGGCACCGGGTCCAGGGGCGGCGTCGCGGGGTCCAGGGGCGGCTGCTCCAGGGGCCAGGGGCGGCTGCTGAGGTCCAGGGGCGGCTGCACCAGGGGTGGCTGCTCCAGGGGCCAGGGGCGGCTGCTCCAGGGGCCAGAGGCGGCTGCACCAGGGGCGGCTGCTCCGACGCACGGCCCCCCCCAGGTCGCCCCTCCCGTCGCCTGTTGAGGCGACCTGAGGGGGGGGGGGGGGGGGGGGGGGGGGGAGGAGTACGGGGGCCGACGCGCGGCCTCCCAGGGCGCCAGAGCAGGCGGAAGAAGGGGCGACGTGCGCCCCCCCCCGCGCGCCCCCCCCCCCCCCCCCGCTCGCCACGCAAGGCGACGGGAAAAGGGGGGGGGGGGGGGCGGTGCACGGGCCCCTGGTGCGCCACGACAGGCATGAGGAGGGCGGGGCCTGGGCAGGGTCGGGGCATGGCAGGGGCAGGGCCGCGTTAGGGCCGCGACAGGGTCGGGGCAGGGCCGCGACAGGTCCGGGACAGGGGCGACGCCGGGCGACGGGGCCGATACGGGGGGCCGCGACGGGGGGCCGCGACGAGGGGCCGCGACAGGGCCTTACGGGGGGCCGCGAAGGGCCGTACGAGGGGCCGCGAAGGGCCGTACGAGGGGCCGCGAAGGGCCGTACGAGGGGCCGCGAAGGGCCTGACGAGGGGCCGCGAGGGGGGCCTAACGAGGGGCCGCGAAGGGGCCTTACGAGGGGCCGCGAAGGGGCCTAACGAGGGGCCGCGAAGGGGCCTTACGAGGGGCCGCGAAGGGGCCTTACGAGGGGCCGCGAAGGGGCCTTACGAGGGGCCGCGAAGGGGGGGCCTAACGAGGGGCCGCGAAGGGCCTTACGAGGGGCCGCTAAGGGCCGTTAAGGGCAGGCGCGACGCGCGCCTCGGGTAGGGAAAAAAAAAATTCAGTGGTGCGCCCAAGGATCGAGACAGCTCTATACCATGTGATAATAACGAGGAATGAATGAGAGAAGAGGAGAGAGGTTCACTAGTAAACATTGGGATACATATAGCAAACCCTAAAAGGGCTGTACTCACTATAGAGTACCCCACTGCAGACTAGAGAAACATAATATTCTGACAGTGTTGTCATACTGCACAACATGGGGATCAAGATGGCAACTTCCAGGATGAGAACAATCAATCACACGTGGGCCGCGCGGCTGATCAACCAAGACCCATGGTGGACGAGAGGAGAACTTGCACGGTATAATTGGTGCGCCGATCTAGCCGTCACTAGACACGATCTCAAGGAGAGGAGGAAGAGGCTCGGGGAGGCGCTGCATGTGGAATACCTTAAGCGACGTCGGAGCGGCGATGCCACACCTCCACGTCGTCAGTGACTTCATCACCGGCGTCGGTATTGTCGCCGGTCGGCCCTGATTCATCCGCGGGGTTGCTTTCGACGTTGAGCGGACGGCTTGTTGTTGACTGTTGGGAGGCCATCCACTCGCGTATCACTCCGGTGATTTGTGTTACGCCATCCTGGGAGCACTTGGTGAATGTGTCGGCCAACAGTTGAGCGGCTGCCATGGTCGCCGTCTCATTAATACGGCGTCGTGCACTGGGCGGGGTGTTACGAACTAGGGATAAGAGCGGGAAGGGTTACGGGATTGAGGTGTAATGGCAGAACAATCAGTCATTCTTTTGCGGTGTAAGCGACATTACATAGTATTCCGAATTTTAACACGCTCGGATTTTCAACTTGCTATAAACTGGGCTCGCATTCAACACACATACCAGGCGTTGTTGTGGCAGCAGTAGTCTCCGGCTTGGGAATCTTGACGCCAGGGTCCACTGTCACGTTATCTGCACCGCCACCATCCAGAGCGTGAGGCTCGGCCGCAGCAGTGTCTTCGTAGAACAGCACCATCCACTGCCACCACGGAGGCTTTATCACCGTTCCGCCTCCAGATGCCGAATCCCCGATCTCGATCTGCTTCCACAGCGCTTTAAGTTGCTTCCACTGATTGGTGCAGGCGGTGGCATTCCTGCACCAATCGGAATGCTTCTTCTTAATGTGTTCGATGAGGCGCAACCAATACTGCGACCCCTGTTTTCCCGTCATTTGGTTGAGCTCCTCCTTGGTGAACCATCGCGCGGCGCACAATATGGTTGACTCTTTGGCCGTCCAGTCCGATTTCGGGCCTGTGCCCAAACAGTCGGCATTCTTCGCGCCAGCCTGGTGACTGCCCTTTCCCTTCCCGCGAGCCTCGACGCGGCTACTGGAGCCTCGTTTCTCTGCTGCCGCGGCCGGCGCCACGGGGCGAGCATCACGCGGGCCACCATATTCCGCGTCGCCGCACCACGCCTCGTCGGGTTCTTCGAACTCGAAATCCTCGTCGTCGTCGCCATCCGCAGTCTCCTTGTCCGTGTCGTCCTCGTCAGTGTCATAGTCGACGTGCAGACCGACATTACTGGTCCCGGCCGTGGCGCGAGGTGTGACGGGTGACTTTGCGGGTGGCTGGCCCACATTACGCAAAGGCTTTGCAGTGGGTCTACCATTCGCGAGTTCAGCGTTCATCCACGCCACATAGGCAAGATCCTCCGGACGCCATGATTCTTCGTCTGCCTGGCTGACTACTTTACGCTTTCGGGCCATGTTGTTGGATGTACGGTGCTTTGCGTGCCAAGGAATGGCTGGAATACCAATGTATAGAGAGCAAGATGGCGCGTTGGGTGCTCTGTATCATGTGTGTTTGGATGAGAGGGCTCGTGAAGTGCTTGACGTGCTGGGGGTGGTAGACGTGTCGCATGGAGCCAGGTGTGAAAATGGCTCCCAAAATTTGCATTCCGTGCACGTTCGCGCGCAGCGCACGACCGCCACATCGTCCAGCATGGCACGAATTGGTGACTGCCGCATACACTGGCCTGACGTCTGTTCGTTAGATGGAACCGTGTTCCGGGAAGTCATCACGATCACGCGACACCCTGCGAGCATTTCTATTGGTTCGCTCAATCATTACAATCTTGATAACTGGTGTTTTATAACGTACACGATGTCAAACTACATTCTTGATAGGAGGTTTCTTGATTGGAGGTCGTAGGAATACGCCCTTAGTATTTGTCATCACAATGATTAGAACCCATGAATACCGTACCCACGCCCTACCTACCTCCTAGAACCACACCGGTACCGGTACCGTAACTCCCTACTTTGTACTGTATAAACACACAGCTCCACTAGAGCCAGTCCGCATCATTACGGTAGTTGTGTTGAAGCTGACATCTACCATAACAGCAGCAGCAGCAGCAGGAGCAGCAGCAGCAGATTCAAGTCAAGGGCTAATCTTCCCCAGCATCTGAAACCTTCCACCCACAACACCCATCGCACGCATGCCATTGCCATGCCCCTGCTCTTGCTCTGTGGCACTGATCCGACCACCAACACGTCCTCCCCTCCTTCCTCGCACTCCTCTCCCTCCCCCCCTTCCCCCATGCATTTTGTTTCCACGGCTCAGAACATTCCCCCGGATGTTCTCCCTCCAGCCTTCCCCCTGTTGCCCTCCTTGCAGCAGGGGATTCCCATCCCCACCACCCCCACCACCACCACCGCCACCACCACCACCACCACCGCCACCTTGCACAGCTCCCATATCATTCCCTCCCACACCATTTGCCGCTGCTGGTGGTGTTGCTGATGCTGTTGCTGCATCCGCACCGTGACTACCATCAACACCAGCAGCAGAAGCAGTAGCAGCTGCACCGTCAGAAGCAGCAGAAGCGGCTGCAGAAGGCAGGTTGTGCCTGCCCGAGACACTTATACCCGTCCTTGCCACTACCACTGGCTCCACCCCCCGCCGTCCCTTGCTCGGGGCACTCAACAGAACTGCTGCACTTACTGCACTTGTTACACTTCCTGCAGCACTTGGAGCACCACGTGAAGCACTTGCACCACTTAAGGCACTAGGCGCAGCCCTCACAGAACCATTGGGAATAGAAGTCCCAATCACAGGGCCGTTGGCAGTGGAGGAGGAAAGAGCGCCGTTAGCAGGGGAGAGAGAGGAGAGAGGCACAGTCCTGGCAGCAGCACGAGTGTTATCCAGCCCTTGGTGTCTCTCCCCTGCTGCACTCCCCAGAACCTTGCTACTGCTGGCGGGGAGGCTGGTGGAAGCAGAACTACTGGCTGAAGCAGGGGTGGTGCTAGGGTGGTGGTGAGAAGTGGAGGAGGAGGACGACGAGGAGTGGGAGAGGCGAGTGTGGGGAGAGGGACGAGGGGGGGACGTGTTGCTGTGAGGAGGTGGGTGTGGGAGAATGAGGGGATAGGGAGGAGACGGATGCTGGTGCTCGTTTGGAGGATCGCTCGGCGGCAGTGAAACACCAGCACCGGCACCTCGACTAGCACCACCATTACCAGTAGCAGAAGCAGGAGCAGCGGAAGCAGCAGCAGCAGCAGCAGCAGCAGCAGCAGCAGCAGGAGCAGCAATACCAAGGGTAGCATTCCTGCCGCGGTAGCTACGACTCCCATTCACTCCTCTTGCACCAGCATCACCACTCGCAGAAGCAGCAACAGCAGGAGGAGCAGAAGCAGCAACAGCTCCCTTAGAAGCCAACCCCACCGCAGCCTCTTTGCCATCACCTTCCAGCCCATCCAAATTTAATCCACTAATGGGCCCACGGCTTCCTCTCACCCCCTCCCCTCCTCCCCACCCCCTCACGCCCTCCCCCTCTCTCTCATGCACACCCACATGTGCTCGGCGAGGGGAGAGAGACGCAGTGGGGCGGGGAGGGACGCGAGGGGGGTGCGGCGAATAGGAGAGAGAGGTGGTGGGGTGAGTTGGGGGGAAGGGGAGGAGTGAGGGAGTGGGGAGTGTAAGCTGGGGTGGGGAGGGGGAGGATGGGGGAAGAGGAAGTGTGGTCTTTGGGTCAAGTGAGGGGGGAAGACGATGGGGTTGCTGGCTGAGGGACTGCAAACTGCTGCTGCTGCTGCTCCTGCTGCTGCTGATGCTCGTGTTGATACAGGTGATGCTACTATTGCCGTTGGCGGCGGTGGCGGTGGCGGCGGCGGTGGCGGCGGCGGTGGCGGCGGCGGCGGTAGCGGTGGCGGCAGCAGCAGGAGAAGCCGGATTCAGCTTTCCTTTAACCAGGGGTTGGCTGCGACGGGGTGTGGAATTTTGACTCGCAGGGACAGGAACAGGCACAGGCAAAGACTGGGAAAGCACGTTCTCAACAGCTCCCCAGGGAGCAGAAGCTGCAGCAGGAACAGCAGCAGCAGGTGTGGTCAGAGGCAGTTGAGGAGGCTGAGGAGGGTGAGAAGGCTGAGGAGGGTGAGGAGGGAGAGGAGGTTGAGGAGCAGGGGATGAGAGCAGGGAAACGGAAGACGACTTCCATGGAGAGGCGACGGGCACGGGGGAGAGGGAGGAGGAAGATGCGGCCGCCACTCCCCCAGCAGAAGCAGCCGCAGCAACGGCAGCAGCGGCGGCTGTGGCAGCAGTGAGGGCGAGAGAGGAGCCGGGAGGCGCTAACGAACCCATGTGGTCAGATAAAGCTGACACGACTGCACCGAGAGAGAGGGGAAAGCGGCTCGTGCGGAAGACTCGCTGTGCGTATGCACGCCTGCTGCTGCTGCTGGCCGTGGTGGCGGTGGTGGTCGTCGTCGTGTCAACACCACCGGCCTCTGCCGTTCCCCCTACTCCTTCTCGACCCATTCCACCTCCTCCTTCCCCCTCTCCTCCTCGTGCTTCCACAGTAGAATTCGGCAGGAAGGCACCAGGAGGCAGGCCGAGAGCGAGCATGTGCTGTAAGGGAGGGCCTGAGTGGAAGAAGAGTGGGAGGTCCATGTCTTTGAGAACGGACTCGTCCACACACGGCCCTTCGTCGTCGTGTAACCGCGCGTGAGCCGGCACCCTCGCTCTCCTTTGCCCTGTGACCATTCCCTCGGTTACACTCCCCACCCACGCACTCACGCCTTCAGACACCACTGCTGCGGTCCTGCCTTGCTTTCTCCACGCTCCTCCTGGTGCAGCAGCAGCAGCACCACCAGCACCAGCAGCAGCAGCACCAGGCACAGCAGAAGCAGCCGTACCTGCCTCTGCCCAGCCACTGTGCTGCTGCTGCTGTTGCTGCTGCTGCTGCTGCTGGCCTTTGCTTGAGTGTCTTGACCGTCTTGACTTGTTTGACCGCAAGCCGGCAGCCTGGCGAACAGCAGCAGGAGGAGGAGGAACAGCACCGCACTGCACCGCACGAACCGCCCATGCCATCACCTCGCCTCCCACCCCTTCCATTGCCGCCGTCCCTGTTGCTTGTGCTGTGGAGACAGGCACTCCGCTCGCACTGCCAGTAGCAGCAGAACCACCACCAGCACCACCAGCAGAAGCAGCAGCAGCAGCAGCACCCGTAGCAGCAGAAGCGGGAGCAGCAGCAGCCACAACACTCTCCTGCCCTCTCCCCCTTTCCGTTGGATCTGTCACCGTGCGCCGCAGATGTCGTGACACGGACGAAGACAAAGCAGAGGAAACAAAGGTACCGGACGAAACAGAAGGAGACGCAGCAACAGACACCCCCCTGTGGAGCCCACGCCTCTCCCGCACACCCGCCTTCCCTTCTGCCTTTCTCGTGCCCATTGCACCAGTACCTGCACCAGATGGTCCTGGTGCAGGCCCAGGTGGAACTGGTGCAGGTGGACCTGGTTCCCCTGTGGACCAACCCCCACTTCCAATGGCAAAAGAACTCCCAAGAGCAGCAGCACCACCAGCAGTAGCAACACCACCAACGCTACCGCCAGTATTTGCAGCCGAAGCAGCGGCACCAGCAGCAGCAGGGAAACTAGGGGCGTTACTGGCAGCTCCGGCAGCAGCGGAAGTGGAGAAGGAATGGGAGAGTCCAAACCGTCGGGCAGAGTTGGGACCAGGGGAGAGGGGGGGCAGGCCAGCAGAGGGCAGTCTGGGTGACATCTGAGATACTCTCACAGGGGCAAAGGGAACTGATGTTGTGGTTGTGGAGGAGAGAGGGAGCTCAGAGGCTGGGGAGGGGACGGAAATGCGCAGGGCGGGCCGAGGACGAGGAAGGGAAGGGCTGCGCTGCTGGGCTTGCTGTGTGTCTTGCTGCAGCTGCTGCTGCTGCTGCTGCCTCTGCTCCTGTGCGGCGAGTCGCTGTGGCCCTGCTGTTCCTGGTACCACAGCTGCTGCCGCTGCTGATTCTCCAGCAGGGGCAGCAGCAGCAGCAGCAGCAGGTTTGAAGGCCAGAGGGCTGTGGTTCCAGGGGAGGTTCCCGGAGGAGGCGAGCAGGAGGGCAGCAGCAGCATCGGCGTCTGCATCCATGCCGCGGCGAGGGGCGCTCTGTGACTTGCGCAGGGCACGGGGGGCAGCAGCATTGCCATCCACCGACCTGCTGGCACCTGCCCGTCCTTTTCCTCCTGCTGTTCCTCCTGCTGTTCCTCCTGCTGCTGCTGCTGCTGCTGCTGTTGTTGTTGTTGCTGCTGCTGCTGCTGCTGCTGCTGCTGCTGCTGCTGTTACGCCCACGGCTCCATCTGCTGCCGGTCCTACACCCCCTGCGACCATGCCTGCCGCCCCACCCCTTGCGCTGGGCCCGCTGCGGGTTTGTGTGCCTGCCTTTGCCCCTGCTGCCCCTGCCCCTGCTGCTGCTGCTCGTGCTGCTACTCCCATTCCCGGTACGGGCACAGTAGCAGCAGCAGGAGCAGCAGACGAGGAAAAAGAGGAGGAGGAGGAAGCAGAAGAAGAAACACCGATGATAGCAACACCAGCAGCGACGGAAGCACCAGCAGGAGCAGCAGCAGTTGGGTCGGGGCGGGAGAGAGCATAGACCTTGTCGCTTGGGGAGCAGTCAGCGTCGTTGCTGTTGGAACCAGGGATGAATATCCGCGGCACTACAAACCCCGAATTGCGGCGGGTGAGAGTAGAACCGCCAGCACCCGGAAAAGACGCGTCACCTCCTCCCAGCGCTGCTGCGTGGGGGTTACTCGTACTCGCACCGAGGCCAAAACTGGTACTCCTACTGCTGCTACTGGTGCTGCTGGTGGCGCTGCTGCTGCCAACGACTAGACACTCGGCAGGGTCTGCGGACGTAGCAGACGAGCTCGTGAGGAGGTGGGAGGAGGAGAAGCGAGAGGCATGAGCAGGGGGGACGGGGACAGAGGGAGGGGAGGGGTAGAGCGGCACAGGGAGGTCATTAAGGCCGCCTCCCCTGGGCTCGCTTTTGGCTTTGGAGAGCATGCGGGAGCGAGACAGGCGGCCTGGTATGAACCCTGCAATGGGGCCAGGTAGGGGGGTGGGGCGCCTCTGCTGCTGCTGCTGCTGGAGCTGCCACAGCTGCATCTGCTGCCTCATTTGCAGCTGCTGCTGTTGCTGCAGATTGGCGTGAGGGAAATCGGGACGCTGGTTTTGGAAACTCTGCTGCTGCTGCTGCTGCTGCTGCTGCTGATGATGATGATCAGGACGGTAGCTGTAGCGGAACGATTGGCTGCGACCGGTCGGATGCTGATGCTGCCGCAACTTAGGGGACGGCAAGGCACGAAAATGCGGCAAATCTCCTCCTCCTCCCAATCCTCCTCCTCCTCCACCACCACCACCACCACCACCACCACCACCATCAACCAGCTTCCCCAGGCGTTCAGTCGAGCTGCGGATCCTGAAATCCATCCAGTACGGTCCCGGTCCAGAGCCAGTACCAGCGCCAATACCAGTGCCATTGCCATTGCCAGTCAACAGCGCCGTGCCGTGTTGGCCTGCACCTCCCAGCGGAGCATCCAGCTCCACAAACCGTCGCGCTGACACAGACCGCTCAAACGGCCTCAGCAGCAGCAGCCTGCCACTCTCCCCTGCTGCTGCCGCCACTGCCGCCGCCGCCGCCGTTGCCGAAGCTGCTGATGATGAGGCTCCTGCTCGCCCTATAGCTGCTGAGTTCCCAGAGCCAACGGCATCAGCATTGGCAGTAGCGGCACCAGCAACAACAGCAGCACCAACAGCAGCAGCACCCCCAGCAGCAGCAGCTTCCCCTGCTGCCATCTCCCTACCCAGTCCGTCCGCGTGAGCCAGCCCTCGGGCCGCCAGTAGCCGCTCCATCATCACTGCCATTTTCACCGACACACTCTCCCCACTTCCACCCCCCCCTCCCCCTCCCCCTCCCCCTCCTCCGCCTCCGCCTCCGCCTCCGCCTCCGCCTCCGCCTCCGCCTCCTGGCCATCCTCCCTGCTGCGGCTGCGTCTGCTGCTGCGGCTGCTGCTGCTGCACGCCTGTTGCAGCGCCTGCAGCAGCAGCAGCGGCCACTTGGCTGAGGTTGAAGGGCAGGGGCATCAGGCGTCTCACGGGCATGCTCAGCGACTTGGGCATGGCGGAAAGCAGCGGGACTGCGCCCATTCCGCCGCTGCTTCCGGGGAGGCGCGCGCCCTGGCCGCCCAATCCCGCGGAGAGCCCAAGATCGTCCGCCCTGGATCTCTCTTCCGCCTGTCGGCCGCCCATGGTGCCCGGGATACTATCCTGCAAGGCAGTGTAGCCTTTGGGGGAAACAGGGCCCATGGCTGAAGTCCCTGGGAACTCCCTTCCCCGTCTAACGTCTTCCCCGGCCATTCCCCCGCCCATTCCCCCGCCCATTCCCCCTCCCATTCCCCCACCCATTCCCCCGCCTGCAGCACCTCCTGCACGTCCCCCAGCACTCCGCAAGAACCTCTCCGCGGAAGCCCCCTGCACGTCCGCCGTCCGCTCTTCCGCGCTCCCCGCACGCGCTACATAATCGGTGCCCGCGCCCTCCCAGCATTCCCCCGCCTCAACCCGTCCCCCGATTCCCTCGTCTCCCCTCCCTCCCCAGCCGTCCGCGCGCGCGCTCGATTGTGCACGGCCTGCGCGATCCGCGAAGAGCAGCGGGGATTCCTTGCGCGGTAGGCGGAGGCGTCTCAGAGTGGATTGCGGTTCGATCTCCCACCTACCCGTGCGTGATACGAGCAGCGACTGGCCAACGGCGCTGCGGAGCAGACCCACCTCGGGAACGGCTCCGCCGCCGCCGCCACTGCCACCGCTGCTCCCACCACTCGCCCTGGTGCCGTCCATGCCGTCCCGACCGATGAGGTACAGGCCGCCGGCGGAACGGTCGGCGCCGCGTGCGACTAGAGGCGACACCAGCTCGTCGAATTCTGACTCGGGAAGCGACAGGCTGCGACGCATTGTTTTCGTTCGCACAAGCTCCGGGCCCTCCTCTTCCTCCTCCTCCTCCTCCTCCTCCTCCTCCTCCTCCTCCTCCTCCTCCTCCTCCTCCTCCTCCTCCTCCTCCTCCTCCTCCTCCTCCTCCTCCTCCTCCTCCTCCTCCTCCGCCTCCTCGTCCTCCTCTCCTCCCACCCCCCCATCCTCCCATCCGCGGCTCGTTGCCTGCCGCTTCTGCAGCAAGCGAACTCGCAGCAGGTCCAGGATATGCTGCTGACGACGGAGATCGCCGAAAGTCGCAGTTGTCGTCGCCGACGCCGTCGCCGTCGTCGCAGTCCCCGAGGACGTCGCACTGCCTTGCTCTAGCACCCACGTGCCTACTCTCTGTCGCACATGCTCTCGGAAACTTTGGTCTTGAAGGTACCGTGCAAGAGTGGCGGACCGCTGCATGCTGCTACTTAACGCAACCGCCGCCATGCCCCTCCCCCGCAACGTCCGCTCAGTCACGCTCCGCTCCCCCAACCCGCGGGTTCCGCCGGGCGAGCGCGGGGGGGCAATGCGGGGGACTGAGTCATCCAGCGGGGACATGCTCCGCGTAACGGTTACATCGTGCGCGGAAAGCACGGATGCGCTCTTTCCTATCCCCGCCCCCGCCCACTGCCGCCTGTCGCTGGTGCTGGCGCTTTCGCATGTTGCCGGGCGCAGCCTACTAACACCGATATCGTGCGCGGCCCGCGACATGGGTTGCGCTGCGGACGAGGACGGTTCACGCACGCCCGCATCTTGCGCATCCGATTCCCAGTTCCCCGAGCCCTGATCCGCCCACTCCACCAGCTCTGCTCGGCGCGCTGCGTCGACGCCCGCGAGGGCATTGCGGAGAAGAGAACGTGATTCGCGCACACTCATGGCTTGCAGTGAGAAAGCGCAATGTATATACGGGGATGCTCACAGCATACATCCAGGATCTGCAAGGTACTGGGGAGGCAATTCGTGTACTCTGTCCGTGTGCCGACAGAGGGATGCCTGAACTGAAGCTAGCGGCAAGATTCCTGTGCTGGACGGTACAACTGAACCGACTGCTGCAGCAAACTCATGTTTTCAGCTTTCAACACGACAAAATGAGCTGTCGGAGGCAATTCACATCGCACCGCATTAAAGCGCACTGAAACACGTGAAATATCTTAAAACATTCACCAAATATGAGGGCGTCTGGCTGCAACAATGAGAACGACTGGGAGAACAGAGGGGACACTGCACCACCCCACTCCACCAGTCCCAACGGGATGCTGCCCTGCCTAAAGAGGTTCGTTGTTGTCACATTCCGGGTGACTGACAGAGCACCAACCAAACCACAGACGGGCAGGTCACTGTTGAGCTGCTTGGCGTCAAATCTAGGTGCCTGCCTGTGGTGTGGTGCATTGCTTCTTCGCGTCGCGACGTGATAGATTGTCGTTTTTGGCTGGCCCAACAGATATTGGTTCAAAATGAAACATTTCTTGCCCGAACACCTTCCTAGTTACAGCATAGCTAAAATAGTGACCCCCCCCCTTCAAGTTGGGTCCACTTGAAAACACAAGTTTGTTACGAACGTTCGAAAAGTCGACGGCCTGTGCGTTTTTACTTTTTTTCATCCCGGACGAGTCTTGATCTGAACGGAAAATATGTGTACTTGTTTACAAATCTAATTGGTGGCGACTTTCACCCAAATTCCTGTACGAATTTGACGCAAGGGTGCAATCCCACATTCAACAGAGCAGCGGTCGTAACTTCACAAGAATTCCTATGTGCAAAAAACAGCGCACACACATGCAAAATCCAGCGCGCACACAGGCAAAAACTAGCAAAATCCTGCGCAAACACTGGCATGATCAAGCAAAATCCATGGCACACATAGGTGAAATCAGGCGAAGAAGATAGAAATAAAGAAATGAATGATGTACGAAAAGAGGAAGGGTGTCGGGACGGTTGATTGGTCGACGGCGAAGAGAAGGGACTGGGGACAAGGGGGCCGACGGGAGAGAAGGGGAGAGAAAAGGAACGACGGGATGGGAGGGGAGGGAGGAAGAACGATGGGATAGGAGGAAAGAGAGGAGGAACAACGGGATGGGAGGGGAGAGACGAAGAAAGACCGGATGGGAGGGTAGAGAGGAGGAACGACGGGATGGGAGGGTAGAGAGGAACGACAGGATGGAAGGGGAGATAGGAACGGGAGGCGGGGAGGAAAGACAGATTGTGCGGGGAGGGAGGAAGGGCGCGGAGAGGGCATTACATAGCAAGAGCGAAGGCGACGAGGTCGGTGATGAACCGGGTGGATACAATGGGCGATCTGGAGAGTGTTTCAGAGACTAATGATTGGGGAGAAGAGACGAAAGGCGATGGGAAGGCATTTCGGAGCGAGCATGAGGGCGACGAGGTCGGTGATGGGAAGGGAGAGAGGAAGGGCGACGGGAGGGGGTTGAGTGCGAGCGCGAAGGCGACGAGGCAAGCGATGGGAGGAGAAAGTGGGTAGGTGACGGGAAGGCATTTTGTGGCGAGCGGGAATGCGATGGGGTGGGTGATGGTGGGTGGGAGAGGAAATTGCGACGGCTGCATCTAGGGCGACGGGAAGAACGAGAGGGAGAACGAGAGGGAGGGCGGCGGCGACAAGGAGGGTGATGTGAGGGGAGAGAGAAAGGGTGACGCGATGGTGACGGACGATGTGAGGGAAGAGTGTGAGGGTGATAAGAGGGGTGATACGAACCGAGAGAAAAAGGGTGATGGGGGGAGAGAGAAGGCAACGAGGGTGATGGGAAGGCGACGACGAGGGTGCCGCGAGGGGCGACGAAAAAAGCGAGGGCATATGTGACGGGGAGAGTAACGCTGCGAGGGAAAAGCGAGAGGGGCCGACGATCACGGGGCGACGGGCAGGCATTTCGGGGCGAGCGCGAAGACGCCGAGGTGGGTGATGGGGCGGGAGAGATGAAGGGCGACGGAAGAGAGGAAGACGGGAGGGGAGGGGCGACGGGAGAGAAGACGGGTGACGGGAGAGAGGATAGGAGACGGGAGAAAGAAAGGGTGACGGGAGAGAGGAAGGGCGACGGGAGGAAGGAAGGGCGGCAGGAGAGAGAATAGGCGACAGGAGAGAGGAAGGGCGACGGGAGAGAGGAAGGGCAACGGGAGAGGAAAGGCGAAGGGAGAGGAAAGCGACGGAGGAAGGGCAACGGGAGAGGAGAGGCGAAGGGAGAGGAAAGCGACGGAGGAAGGGCAACGGGAGAGGAAAGGCAACCGGAGAGGAAAGGCAACCGGAGAGGAAAGGCGATGGGAGGGGAGGGGAGAGATAGCGTGGCGACGCGAACTGAGGGGAGGGCCGCGACGGGAGACAGCGAGGGCGACGTCGATGGAGGCGACAATTCGGGCGACGGGACGGCGTTGGGACGGACGGCGCGAGGACGAGTGAGTCGGGAGGACGAGTGAGGCGGGATAGGAAGGCGGCGAGAGGGTAATCTAAACGGCATAATTATGACATATAATAACTACGCGCCTAAGTTGCGGTAACAACAGCCTAAGTTGGGGCTATATGGCTAGACAAGCAACTAAAAACTAAGAAGCACGGAAAACTGAATGGAAGACGTAGTAGAACTTCACCCATGTCCAACTTGAACGCGAAGCTGGGCAAAATATCGCAGGGACGTGACAAAACGATCACAGTGCTTCTGCTCTGCGGCTCCCCAAACAGAGATGCGACGCCTGACGTGCTGTGTTCCTTTTTTCAGTTTTGGCGGGAACCAATCAGATTTGTTCGATCTGTTCAAACGCTCTTAATGAAACAGTGCAAACTTGTCGGTTTGGTTTTGAAAATTGTTTCGCTCGACAAGCTCTCTTTCAAGCTGGAGACGGGTTCACTACTTTGCATTTCGGTTTTAATCTAGCTTAGGGCGAGTCATATGTATTTGCTCACATTCAACTTTGGAAGGTGTAGTCTGGTGCTCAATGGTGTAAAAAGGTGGTAACTGAGCATCTCGCTTTACCTTACACCAAGATAGAATTACGACTATGTCTGTACCCTGCCTAAATGGTTTGGAGGGTATCATGATTAAACAGAGCATGTGAGATACATATAAGTGTACCCCCAACTTCTAAGGTTGCAAGCAGATGTTTGAACTGTAACAAGAGTTCTTCTAACTGTTGAGCTTTAAAGGATGCACTGCAATGCCACGTGAGAGTTGCCAATAGCTGAAGTGAACAGCATGTGATATACATACAAGTGTACCCCCAACTTCCAACTATGCAGACGTTTACAGAAGTGAAAGTACGAGTCCGTTGCTCATCTACAGCTAGGCATCACACCGTGAAAGTATGAACCGCAGCATGGATTGCATCTGCTAGCTGTGGAACAGTCTTTGAGCTGAGACCAGCCATGCTGATACGCCTGTGAAGAAATCAAGACGCATATTAGCCTGTGGACTAGCGCCAAAGAAAGGGGTTTTGCTTGCACACTATAATACACATACCCATCAGAGGTCATGTAGATGTGGTACTCCCGAGTCATGAAGGCAACCTGGAATAGAACGGTCCAAAGTTGTCGATGGAAACAATGTTAGGCGAAGGACTGTATGACAGGCAAAGACCAACTTCATGGGGTAAACAATATTGCGTACCTGCTCTTTTGATAGGCCTGTAAACGTGAACATCCCAATCTGCTTCAGAATGTGAGTCCAGTCACCAGGAGTTCCTGCAATACATTACAACACACAAATAAGCACCTGCTAATTCGCCCAACAGTTCAAGCATGCAGGAAACGAACCTCTCTGCTGGAGTGCTGCATACAATTGCTGCCTCATGCTGATAATCCGGTCTGCCATTCCTTTAAGCTCGAGGGTCCACTCGTTGAACAAGTCCCTGCAATCCATGGCCCACATCAACACTGCATTTCCACACAAAGTGGCTCGGTACCAAAAAAATAATCTCAGAAGCAACCCTTACTTGTCAGAAAGAACAGCTGCAACAATGCGAGCTCCATGGGCTGGAGGGCTGGAATACATCGGCCTTATAACCATCTTGAGCTGACTCTCAACCTTCGACGCAGCCTTCGGACATGCACAAACCTGCCAATGAGAGGGTGCGTTCAAACACCACGGTCACCACAGGCACGACAATCCACTAGAAATACGCTTTGCAATGCGTACTCACCATGCTCAATGCACCAATGCGTTCACCATAGAGTCCGAGGTTTTTGGCATAGCTTTGAGCGATCATGCATTCTCCGCCATCGTCCACAAAAAGCCTGACAGCATGAGCGTCTTCGTCCAGGCTTCCACTTGCGAACCCCTGTGGCGAAAAAAGACCATTCTTAGCACTACTATAGTACACATCGTTCAGGCGTACCGCTTCTTGTGTCCTCACCTGATAGGCACTGTCAAAAAAGGGCAAGTGTCCTTTTGCTCGAATAACCTTGCGAATCATATCCCACTGCTCCTTGGTGGGGTCCACTCCAGTGGGGTTGTGCGCACATGCGTGGAGGAGAACGATGCTACGATCAGGAGCAGAACTAAGATCCTGACACATTCCTGCAAGGAGTTGAATCAAGACGTAAAAGCAACCTCAGAACATTGCAGTCACAATAACTCCTACGAGTAATTGGTTTTCCAACGAACCTTCAAAATCAAGTCCTCGAGTCCCCTTATGATAATATCGGTAAGGTTCGACAGCCACTCCACCAGAAGGGAAGATCTTGTTGTGGTTTCCCCAAGTCGGTGAAGGAAGGTAAATGCATTTGTTCTGGAAAACGAAGCAATAAACGACACCTCGTGTCAGTTGCTAACGATGGAGCACACACACGTATTGTTTTCCAGAATGTACTCCTTACAAACGGGTAGTGAGACTTGATAAACTCCGCTCCTACTCGTAGTGATCCCGTCCCAGAAAGGCACTGAACCGTGGCAACCCTACTTTCCGCGATGGCGCGACTGCACAAAGACAACCCGAGACGTCAGATGAACGCGAAAGAACCACACAGTATGTTCTAGCACTACTCCCCTACCTGTTGGCACCAAGAATGAGCTTTGCTGTCAGTCTGTTGAATGCTGGAAGTCCAGCAATAGGAAGGTATTCGTGATTCAGTGACCTGAGTTGAAAACGAAAGCCAGAAAGAGGTGAGCAGACGGAGGCTGGAAAATGTGGCAACTGAAAGTGGTGAGGCTTACCTGTCCGCAAGCGTCATCAGCTCTGCACGATGCACAACATCAAGCACCAACGGCTTTCCCTCCTGGAATGAAATAAACGAAAAAAAAAGCAGAGAAAATCCGCTGGTCGGTACAAGCTTTGGAGGACCATAGCTGCAAGCTCACTGCTGTCATCCGTACCTCAGTGCGGTAAGCTCCAACCCCAAGGTTGACCTTTAGCGGGCTCGGATCCTTTTGAAAGGCCACGGTTACCTGAAAATAGAACGAGTGAAATTTTAGAAAACTCTCCGAAATTCACTCCTAAGAGAAAGGAGCGTAGACTGTATAGACGTACACCAAGGATAGGGTCTTCTGGAGCTTGACTAACAGCACCCCAAACGCCTCCGGCTTGCGATGAGGTCCAGCTGGCGGAAACACCAAGTTCCGCATGGCTCACGGAAGCGCAAAGATGCCCTTGCAACACCTCAAGTCGGCGGGAAGCCATTAATGTCAATCTGGAATGGAGTCGGAGATGTTCTGAGACGAAAAGCAATTTCGCGAGTTCCAACCATTTTGTGCTTGTTTCCGCTTTTACTTGGAGAAAGCACCAGGCATGCTTCATTCCATGTTGGCAGTAGGCCACATTGGTTCGGTTTGGCCCACATTGGGGCCACAACGCAGTTGCCACATCATTGCTGAACGGGCGTGACGAGGCAACAAGGAGTGACTGCCATGTCATGACCGAGCCCAGGACCACACTGACCAAAAGTATTTGCTTGCACTAACCAAAATTCAGCATGTCGAAAACTGTGGTCTGTTCTTCTTAACCGAGAACAGCGGACCACTCAATATCGGAGTATCAGGCAGGGTTCCTTTGACGCAGCTTGAAACCAAGGCCCTGTTCGGTAGCCCCCCCAGTCACACTGCGGTTGGTGCAGGTGCTCTTCCTCGGCCCAATGTCGACTCACCTTAAAGCCCACCGAGCCGTTATTAGAACACCATACCTGCCCAGTGCAAGTTGGCTACCGAACGCGTGAAAAACCCAGTCCAAGTGAAGTTGAGGACGCTACCACGAAAATGCTTGCTCAGGCAAGCTCGACCGCCAGTGAGAGTCAACCCCATTTCTACTTTCCAGTTCCACTCAGGCAGGCCCGCTCTGAGTGGCACGCTACGCTGTAGGGGAAACGCTGCATTAGTTTTGAATCGGGTCAAACTATGTTTTTCAGCCTGCTCGTTCAAACAACGAGAGATCGTGCCCGTTCGTGAATTTCTTTTATCCATATCGAGGGTGTTATATTTGGCGGGCTGTTTTTTGTTTGTGAGCTGGGCAGCCTCGTACAAAAGTAAAAGTTTCGACCAGTAATTTCTCGAGAAACACACTGTAACTTCTTGCGTTTGTGGACGAGACTTCCTTTCAGTGTGAGTGGACACCCAAGGCTACGAAACATGTCATAGGCTTCCCCGATTCGAGTAAGCCCAGTGTGACTGGAAGGCTACCGAACAGGGCCCAAAGTTTGAGGAGGGTTTTCAGTTTTCACCACTTCAAACCATTGAGCACCAAAACGAACCTTCCTATGTCAATTGTAACCAGCTATAACCTGTTTCTGTACACATTTGGACAAAGAGGCTATCTAAACTAAACATACCGTGGAAGAGTTTTGCTATCTTGTCACTATATTTGCAACAAACCTCACTGCCTCGGCAGAAGCTCGCTTACATTGTAAAGTACGCTCTTTGTTGCTACAGAAAGTTTAGTAACATATGCTGTGGTATACCATCAGAATGCACCTTGTTTTCCTATTATGGCCAAGTTCAATATTCTAGATAATTGTTGTGTGTTTTAGTTCTCCTAGTTCGTTTTATGAGAGTCTTTTAAACAACCGCGTACAGTATGGAAAGTCTGCACGCTTCATACAAGGTCCTCTCAAGCTCCTTGCAACGAAATGAACTGCGCTTCGCACATCATCGAACAAGGCAGTTGATGCGGGCACGCCCAATGTTGGCTTTCATTTCTCACCTTCAAGACACCAAAGCTCTCCAGACCTACTGTGTTCACAATGGCGAGACGAGTCGATGTCACCAAGCGATCCACTGCTGCAAGGCCCGCAATATCCCTCGATGACGGGGTTCCCCCCCCGGAACAAAGCGGGTTTGTGAAATCAAGTTCCGCAACTCTTGCATTCTGTGCAAGGACTGCCTTCCTGACCACATATAGATACTCCTCTGCAGGGTCGACCTCCTTCCAAAACCACTTCCGTCTTCTGAGCAGCAAGATGCTCGGAATAGGTAAGCTTGCAAGTCAAACACAAAACCAATGGACCACCTCTTTCAGAGCTAACGGATCGACAGCAGGACTCGTTCGAGGGATTGGGCTGACAAGGTTATCGTTGTGGGAGAATCCAGCGTGGGAAAGACGAACCTTATTATGAAATATTGTTCGGGGGGCTATTCGGAAGACTTCAAGGTAACGATGATGTTTCTATCCGATGGCACTGTTCGTACTTGACCATGGCACTGATGCTGCTGGTCCTCCTCGCAGTCCACCATCGGTGTCGACTTCTTTTGGCAAAAGTACAAGCACCGAGACTATGAGTTCACGCTAAACATGTAGGTTATCACTTGCTCTTTCTTACATTTTTGGACTGTAGGTTTGAATCTGACTCTTCCACGTTTTAGATGGGATACGGCTGGTCAAGAACGCTTTCGTGCAATTTCATCCACATATTATCGAGGTGCTCATGCTTGTATACTGGCTTTCGATCTAGGCGATCCTAACAGTTTTCAAAAGATGAAAAGGGTAAGCGCATTGAGTATACCTTTCGTATATTCTTCCGATGATATTCCATGTCTTACGGGTCATTTGCGCTGCAGTGGGCTGGTGATGTTATTAAGCACAACCAGGCTCAACAAGTGCTTTTCTTTCTGGTTGGCTGCAAGGTATGCTCGTGAGACCATTATTTTTTTATCCTCCTTATTTTGATGCTCATGAGCCGATTTTGGCAGGCGGACATGTTTCATGCGGTGAAACACGAACAGGGGCTGAAGATGGCACAGGAATTAAACGCAGAATACTTTGAAGTCAGTGCCAAAACAGGTCAGCCCTTCAAACCTGTTTTGCTCCGTGTATAGTCTGCACCAGGTGTAATTACTTTGTTATGTTGCAGGTGACAACGTCCCGTGGCTGTTCAACAGAGTAGCCTATGTTCTATTGCAGTACAAGATCCAAACCTGCATGCAGCCGCCACAGCCCTTCCCATCAGGTACGTTGGCATTGATGGCATTGAGTGCTGATCACCATGGTCAGCATAGCTGGCACTTATTGTTTTCACCTGGACATTTTCTTGGCAGCTTTCAAGAGCAAGGTTGCTCCTATAGGAGGAGGAAAGGGAATTGGGAGTACTAGTGCTGGTAAGGGAACAGAGAATTGGAAGGAGAAACACAGTGGCAAGGTGCTTTCTCTCAAAGGTGCAGATGCTAACAAAAAGCTTGCAAAAGGTCCTCTATTTAAGTGTTGAGTGTACCACAGTATGCAGTTGCAAGCCTGTTCTTTTACCGTATTCTCCCAGATAAAACACCCTAGGGTATTATGAAAACCACTGGAAAAAAATGGGGGGGGTCTCCTCAAAGGAAAATCCTATATAATACCCGGGTCTTATGATATGGTATATTTTTTATAAAACAGAAAAGATGTGAAACAAAATCAGGGGTCTGACTTCACTTCAAGATTGTTGATCAATGCCGCAAAACCGAGTACGAGGATATTGTGGGCCACTTGGGCCACTTGGGCCACTTCACCTCTTGGACCACTTGCAGTGGAAGATTCGCCAGTGTGGCGACAGCGAGATTTTGGGATTCACCAGCGTGGCGACAGCGAGATTGTGGGAGGGGGGATATCTCGGCTGATTCTAAGTGAAAGTACATGCGAAATTTCTTCTAGGGAGTGATTTTCGCGATATCCTCCCGTAAGGAATCGGACTCGATAACAGCTATAATAGGAATCTATAAGAAAAGGGGGGTGTTATAGAGAATCACCCCAAAAAGGGGGGTATAGTACTAACGGGGTCGGATATAACACCCACCCCGTATAAGCTACCCAAGGGTGTACAATTACGGGGGGATGTTTTATCCGGGAGAATACGGTAACATCATTTATTCAAACTCATCATGAAAACGGCTTGTCGCGAATCCACTTAGTTGCCACCCACTTGGAACCTTTCACCACTGGACAGCTTCCATGTAATGAAGTCTGCCAACAGTGTTGCAACAGAAACAGGAGTGGTAACAATGTAAAGAGTAATTAGAGAATCTAGATCAGAAAAGACTGCCAAAACTCATAGGGGAAACAAGTTCTTACTGGATCAATGGTGCCATTAGGGTAGATGGACCAAAAAAGTAAAGCATCTCCCATCCGTGGCTTCACTTTAAGGCCAATGCAGTCCTTATAGTTGTAACCAATATTCATGTTGCGTCCACCCTGAAACAAATTGGCACAAACATAAAACTATATCAGAGAGCAGGGTATTACGAGCAACCACCAAGTGGGCGTCTATGGGAGCTTACATGACACAGCAGAGAAGAGACAGATACAGATGCTCACACCTCATATGGAAACATGGTTTCACCACCCTCTTCCACGTCCGTAAGGTAAAGTAGAAACGAGGCCATCTGACAGGATGGAACCAGTGGGCAAAATGAACAATGCATTCATAGCCCGTATTAGAGGAAGAAAATAAAAACATCATGAATTACATATGCAGCCCTAGAAGCGAAGGACAATAGGGCTGATACCGTAGAAGAGAGAGCTGAAGGGCAGATAAGACATTTCCTCCAGACAACAGGTACTCACTCGGTTGCTGGATTGAGGGCCATACTCCTTGGGATCAAATACATCCATGTGTGAGTCGTAATGCTGGCCCAACTCATACCGCAGAACGTTGAAGGACTGTTGGCCATGCGGGTAAGACATCAAAGTGAGTGACATACGGAAATAGAAGCTGCACAAGAGGCAAACTCAGTTTTTTTCAGCACTATACATGCCTGTGACTCCACACAAAACTCACCTCCCCATGGTTTACGGGAAGGCCTGTCACTGCTGCCATCTTGCGCTCCACCCAAGCAAGTGAGCCAGACGGATCCATGTTGGCTGCAAGGAAGGTCCCTGAGCTGAAGGATGATGGTGGCATAAGGAGTCAGTGACGACCAGAGGGCAAGGAAAGTGCGGGCGGACGCCACAGCCACAATGCACCCATGTTGAGCAAGAACATGGTAATTCACACGTGCACAGTGGCCTGTGAGTGTGCACATCAATGGGCATTCACTCAAAGGCAAAAAGAAGAAGAAAGCAAGAACAAAAATAAAAACATACTAACAGCCTCCTTACCTTGTGCGAATATCACGGGTGCCTTCCTCACTCTCGCCTGGCCTGAGAGCTAGCCCGGATGGGGCCATGCGCTTGGAAGCGGCAGCAAGAACGTTCTCACACACGTGGCGTGGGGCGAAGCGGGGAAAGACATACGCACGTGGATGCCACGATATCATCTGAGAATGGTCCGAGGGAGGTAGAGGCGTGTGGCACAGAGAAGGTGGCAGGTTGAGGAAGAGTAAACAGGAAACCACAACACAACTGACCTCCCTCAAATCCTCGCTAAATGCTTAGCATTCAAACTATCTCCCTCCAATCCTGCCTGTATTCTTCCTATGTGCGTCAGCCTTGCCATGCCACCATGGCATCACGTCGCTCCCTCCCGAATCCCCTTTGCCGCCCACTCGAAACCACGCCATCTCACCTGGAATGGCACCGTGGAAACGCTACTCTCGCCTGACGTGCCGTGGTCAAACGCCAGCCAGTCATGGCCGCCCTCCCCGTCCCCCACCTCCCCCTCCCCCTTCCCCTTCCCCCCTGCGCCAGCCTCCCCTTCCGCTCCGCTGTCCAGGCTCCCGCGGTGGTCCCCTGCGCGCTCCAGGCGAATTCCGCGGTGAGCAGGGTTGGTGAAGGAAGCGGGGACGGCTCTTGTGGGGGCTCTGAGGTCAGGCACGCGCTGAAGGGAAACGGGGGATTAGGAACGCGTGGTGATGATGTGGAAAAGGAATTTTCGAGGGAGGAAAGAGGAGGAAGGGGAGAGGAGCGATGAGATGGGAGGAGCGGGGAGACAAGACAAGTAAGAAATATAGAGTGAGAACTCTGCCGTCCTTCCGTCAGTGCACCCTCCCAGCCTTCTCGCAAATCCACGCGCGTAGTGCAAAGCATAATACAAATGCGTAGTGCAAACCATAATATAAAGTATCTCCTCGCGTCACCACCGGCCGAGAACACAATTCGATCACTAAGTGTAAGCCATAGTGCAAAGTCTCTCCTCGCGTCGCGTGAAATAAAATAAAAGGAAAAAAAGGAAAAAAAAAAAAAGGGTAACGCGTCGCGCGTAGCCGTCGTACCCCGAAGATGCCGCTGCCATAGAAGCTTCCCATGAAGAACGCGGCGACGCACATGAGCGCGACGATCCCCACCGGGCACCGCACCACGCCGGGCCGCCGTATCTTGGATCCCATCAGCTTCGATCCTCCCACCATCCAATCCTCGATGCGCGCGACTGGAGTATTTGTAAGTGATTGATTGGGCGTGGCGGAGAGGAAAGAAAAACTGCTTCTCCTGCTGCTACGGTTACTTCTGGTGCTACAGCCACTCTGCTGCTCGGCCTTGAGAGTCCAAGCAGCCGTACGGGACGCGAAGGATACGATACGATAACGTCACTTGTCACAGGGACAAGCAGGAAGAAGAGATATTTCTAGGCTAATCTCCCAGGGCTACGTTAGACTGGTCAGTGAATTTTAGAGGCTGGTCGGGTTACTCTTTATAAGCGACGATGGAGGATGAAATTCGCAACGGTCGTCGAACCGCAGACTGACGTCGCCTGTGAAGTCTGGCGACAGCCGTCTCCAGTCTCTTGCTGATTTCGGCTGAGAGGCATACGACGTCTGTCGCAGATCTGACGAGGATGGGAGCGAGTTTCGAAGCCATGTCATGCCAATTGAAGTAACATTGGTCAGATGTCATGTAATAATAATTGCAATACAAAACGAGACCTTCTACACATAAACCAAGGCAAAACAAAGCACAAATACCAACAGCACCAGCAAATAGAACTATTCAGCAATTGCTAACAACAGATCCCTCCCTCACCGCCTCCACGTATTGCTAAGAGTCCAACCACTTCAAACGAGCTGAAACAAAGCTATCGAAGGCACGGCTCCAGTAAATGCAGCCACATACTAGCACCAATGGCACCCAGCCAATCAGATAACAAATCTCCATCAGAGGTGGTGCCCATGCTGAGGCTGGAAACCAGCCACAATTCCGGCGGCCGAGGTAGCACTACTGAGAGACCCATGCTGACAAAGCCGCATAGATGATAACCTGTCCAAGACCGCTGGCATATAACAGCCTGACCCAGCGTCCCGTTGCTCAAATACCTCTCAATGCCTCCACCGTTGCAAATACTTCATCTCCATCCTCCTCACTCCACCTGGCACCCCCACAGGAACCATGCCTCACGTCAACCCCGCCCAGTCCCTCCTCACTGCACTGCACTCCCCCAGACCTGCTATCACCGCACACCAGAAACCACCAGGCGGGTGGCCAACCCACCACACAGCGACTTGCAAGCCACATAACAGCAAGCCCCTTCGTTCTCAGCAAGCCACAGCCACATCAACACACAATAATGAACCAACAAACGGCGCAGAGCAGGTGCAAGCCTGCACCTCCACATGCACACACAATGAGCAGGGTTATGGGGAAACACTTACAAACACTCACGAAAGCTCAACTGCACATACACTTTCTTGCACTGACTGATGCACAGGTAACACACACCACTCTGACAACCCAAAAAAAACATAAAAAAAACCAACCTTAGAACTGAACCAATCAGACACATGCCCTCTCCCCTCCCCCCCTCCCCCCCTTCTCCCCCCTCTTCTAATCCCCACCTCCTTCTTGCCTTGGCCATCCCATTCGTCCACCACCTCACACACAAACCCTCATAGCAACCAACCTCTCCCTACCTTTCCACTTGAATCCAAACGCCTTACCAACGAGCAGATTGCACTGTGCCCCCAGCAAACCTTGCTCGTAACGGCCAACTACCCCACTTCCTCAATCCAACTGCCCAGTTGACAACAGGTGCGCTAGAAGTGACAGCTCAACCCAACCACCCACAGCTGCCACCTGCTGCCACTCTCTACCACTACACGGCTTGTGTCTGCATTTTTCTCCCTCTAGCATCTACTGAAGCATCATATCCTGCTCCTGTTCCAGCTGCTCCTGCTGCTCTTGCTGCTCCCGCTCCTGTTGCTCCGGCTGCTGTTGCTGCAAGGCATGAGCTGCTGACGCCTGGTCATGGCAGTCAGTGCGCCTCTCCCCGGCCTCCTCCCCCCATGTGCTGCCAGCTACCACTCGTCCATGCACCATGCACACCTGCTGCTGCAGCAGATGCAGCACTAGAGGCAGCACCAGGAGGCATGGCAGCAGACACAGTGGGCCCAGCAGCAGCAGCAGCAGCAGCAAGTTCTGCTGTTGCAAATGCGGAGCCAGAGTGAGCCGCCATGGATCCGGGCGCATGAAACCCACTCCCCATACCATCAGACGCAGATCTCATGCTGCCTTCCCCTGCTCCACGCCCCCCTGGTCCGCTTCCTCCTCCTCCTCCGCCTCCCCCTCCGCCTCCTCTCCCCCCTCCGCCTCCGCCTCCTCCTACCCCCGCTGGAAAAGCAGCCCCATGCATCATGAGTGAGTGTGGATGTGAGTGTGGATGGGGGGCGGCGAGGGACAACGGGGCCGACGAGTTGGGAGGGCCAGTGGCGAATGCAAAGCGAGAGTGGGGAGGTTCTGAAGGCGCGTCGTATATGGACACAGTGCGCTGAGGAGGCACACCACAGACTGGACACGTGGCAACGAAATTGGTGCACACCTGGCACAGCACGGCATGGTGGCAGGGCTGCACACAGAAAATAAAAAAGGAAACGGGTAAAAATGGGGCAAGGGACGATCAGAGCACATAAATGGGCTTGCTTATGTGGACAATCGAGGCAATCTTAAACAAGCAGGCTGAAAACAAGCAGATTGGTTGAGCGAATGCAAGGAACAAAAAATGCATCAGAAACAGAAGGGTCACTCTGGACATACCAGAAGCTTGTAAGCAACAGGAAGCTCATGACACACCACACAGCAAAGCCCCCCACTCAGTGCCCCTGCCGCTGCAGCACCAGCCACACCAGCAGTGCCAGCAGCACCAACGGCAGTACTAGCAGTGTTGCTGCTGCTGCCCAGCCCACTGCTTCCAGTCGTGCTGGGACTGTTATTCTTGCTGCTGCTGCCACTGCCACCAGATCCCACACTACTGCCCGCACTCCCACTCCCAATTCCGCTGCTGCTGCTACTACCGCCAATACCGCCACCACCACCCACGCCACTGCTGCTGCTACCGCTGCTGCTGCTACCAGGCAGCCCTGCAAACGGCCTGGGACCTCCGGAAGCAGGCATTCCTGCAGCAGCAGCAGCAGCTGCAGCCGCCACCGCCGCCACTGCTGCCGCGGCTGCTGCCCCTCCGGCTGCTGCTGCTGCTGCACGAGGGCAATTAGGAGCATGGGCGACGGATTGACCTGCCTGTGCTGCTCCAGACCACACAGAGGAGGGGCGGCAGGGGCAGCTTAGCTGTGCTGCTGACCCGTCAAGAAAGGACGGGTTGACTGGGAGGGAAAGAGGCAGGGCAGAAGACGTGGCGGGCGTTGCTGCTGCGAGAAAGAATAAACGAGAGGGAGAGCGGAAGAGTGGGAGAGTGGTTGGAGTGGGAAAGCGGGAGGGGAAGGCAGGGGGGACGGAACGGGTAAAAACACTTGAGGGGGGAAAGAGACGAAGTAAGCGACTCGTGCAATCCCCAAACGGAGCGAACAGAACCAGAAAGAAGCTGTGATCTTCGTGCACTTGAGACATAGCCACAAGTGCTTACCAGACATGATGCTTTCAAGGGACAGGTGCCTGTTTTGGAACGGAGCAGCACTATGAAGCGCCCTGCCAGAAGCATTGCCAGCAGCCATGCTTGGCACAGGTGGCGGCATGGACAGGCCCAAAGGAGGGTGGGCGGAGGGATGGGAGGGGTGGGAGGGGTGGGACGGAGGCATAGGGAACTGGTGCAGGTGATGGTGGTGGGGGCTGTCGTTCCTCCCACCGGCGTGGTTAGGAAGAGGTGAGACGCGCTGCTGCTGGTGTTGATGCTGTTGGTGCTGTAGCTGCTGCAATTGCTGTTGCTGCTGGTGCTGGTGCTGATGCTGTTGCTGCTGTTGCTGCTGCTGCTGCTCCAGCCAATTCTCCAACAGTTCCTGCTCAAGCATGCTGCGTGCCCACTGCCCCATTTGCCCACCGCCCCCACCACCACTGCCAGCCGATGCAGCAGCAGCAGCAGCGCTTGAATCCCCTCCTCCCATCCGCTGCTCAATAGCCTTCCTTACTTTCTCCCTCATAGCCTCCCTCACAGCAACCGCCTGTAAGTCCTCCTCTCCCTGACCCCTCCCTCCTTCCCTAAACCCCCTCGCCTCCTCTTCACCCCCCAACCGGCCCAGGTCATCCCACCTCCCTCTCCCTCCGCCTGGAATACCGAATCCCACTCCCCCCCCAATGCCCTGTTCCATGCTATTCCCCGCCCCCATACCAGACCCCACCATTCCCCCTGCCACCGGTCCCATGGTCCCCCCACCTACCGGCCCCATCCCTCCCCCACTCCCCATGCCCACACCCGTGCCCATGCCAAAGCTGTTGCTCACTGAACCTTCCCTAAACGCCTCCGTCTCTCCTCTCAACCTCAGGCTCTGCCAGATCTGTTGCTGCTGAATCAACTGCTGTTGCTGCTGCTGCTGCTGCTGGTGATGCAGCTGCTCCTGCTGCTGCCGCTCTGCCTGCAGCTTCTGCTGCTGCAGCTGCCACAGAAGGAACAGCGTCCTCTCCTCCAACCGCTCGTAGTACATCTGCTGCTTCAGCTCCATCAAAGCCGCCTCCTCCACTCCCATCCCTCCCCCTCCCATCGGCCCACGTCGGCCCATCATACGCCCTTCCACCACACTCGCCAGCAGCTGCGCCCGCATGTCAGCACCCTCAATTCCTCTCCCGCCTCCCCCCCCTCTGCCCATGCCCATCCCCATCCCGCCTCCGCCACCACCACCATCTGGGGGACTCCGGGAAGCCCCACCTCCGCCTCCCCCGCCCCCGCCGCCCCCAGGCATGCCCCTATTCTGCAGCGCCTTTCTCGGCGGCGGCTGGTATTGGAAATCCACCCCATCTATCCTATGCTCCCTTAGAACAAATTGCCCCTCCCTCTTCCGTTCACACAGCTCTTTATACTTATCAACCGCGTCATGGATCAGATTAATAACCCTTTCAACCTTTTCCTTCTTCCCTTGAATCCTGAACCGTCGGATCTCCTCTCCCTCCATCCCGTCGATTCCACTCGCGCCCTCAGTCCACGACTGCACAATCGCGCCTGTCACGTGCCCGATCTGCCGCGCAGCAGCCCCAGACGATCCGATCACGAACCCCGCAGCCAGCAGCGTCACCCACACGTACGCCTCTCGCCCGTCCTCGGACCGTTCCACCTTGAGCACGCGGTGATCCTCCGTGTACATAGGCTCCAAATCCACTGACCCATCGCTCCGTGGACCGCGCGCCATGCGCCTCCGGTTCTCTGGCTGCCCCGGCGCTGCTGCTGCTCTGCCCCCAGGACCCTGCGCCTGTGCCGCCTCCTGCTGCGGCTGGTCCTGCAGGGACTGGGATCCTGCTTCCTGTGCCGGCTGCCACTGATTCTGCAACGGCAACGGAAGCTGCTGCTGCTGCTGCTGCTGCTGCTGCTGTCGCTGCAGCTGGTGCTCCGTCGCCTGCTGCCGCAGAAAGCCTGCGGCTGGTGAGCTCACGTCAGATCCAATCAAGGAAGAGAGCCGCGAACCTGACCGCTCTGCAGCAGCCGCAGCAGCAGCCGCAGCCGCGGCAGCAGACGTGGAAACAGTGGAAGGAAACGAGGAGGAAGATGCGAAAGCGGAGTCTGATGTTCTGCCACCATACGCACTAGGCTTGTCCAGCCTGCCAGGCCAGCCAAACACGTCAGCTCCTGTAGAAAACCCACGTGTCAAGCCTCCCGCACCTCCGCCAGCACCATCCATGGTGCTACCACCTGCTCTAGAGCCACCAAAACCTGCATCTCCTTCCAAGAATCGCCGCCCACCCTCCATCCTCCCACCTTCCAACCGCCCACCTTCAAACCGGCCGTCGCTAGTGCCGACTGTCTCAGCATGAAGACCGCTAAGCCATGGCTCCCCGTACTCCCCCCTGCTTCCGCCATGGCTTCCGCGCACATCATTTCCCCCTAGCTCCAATCCGCTTCCAAATCCCCCCAGATTGCCCGCAAAAGCAGCCCCGAACCCGGCGCTCTCGGTTACAGCATGCGGCACGGCATAGGCAGGTCCCTCAGGCATAGGCGGAGAGCGGGTTTGAAAGTGGGCGAGGGAAGAAGCGTGGGAGGACGAGGAAGACAAGGCGACGCGTTGGGCGAAACGAGATCTGAGATCCGATCCCAGATCTAGTTGCTCCAGCTGCCACGTCACCGCTTGCTCCACGTCCTGTGCGCTAGCTGCCTGTGCTTGACACGCATGGGACAAGAACGGACAAACACCGACACGGAGAGAGACAAGAACCAGGTTATAGACCAAAAGATCACCATAACAGCATTAAGGAGACACGAACGCGGATCTGAAAACAGCATGTCGCTGACCCACGAACGGGAAGAAAGAAAGGAGTACGACAGCCGGGGAGACATGATCAGCAGCAACAGCCTTAACAAGGACGAAACATATCCACCACGAACGATCACCACCGTACCTGCGCGTGCGCCTGAGCGGTCATGGCGTAACCAGGATGCGTTGACGCACCGCCTCGTCCTCGTAGCAGCTCCAACTCTCTATCACGCGACCCTTCCACTCCTGTCTCACCACCACCCAACCCATAACCGGCGCCTGCTGGAAATCGCCCCACGCCGCCACCACCGCTGTTCAACGGCGCGGTCTTACCAACTAGTACCGATCCGTCTCTCGCCTCATCCGATAGTATCGTCAAACTAGAGTTAAAGTCTCGTACCATCTGCCACTGTCGGTCACTGTCACGCTCCTCCGAGCCTTGCATCCGCGCTGCTGATGCGCCTGCAGCTGCTGCGGCGGTGGCGACAGAAGCCGTCGTAGTACGGTCAGATCCGGTTTCCGCCGGCGACGTCACCGGCGACGCGGACGACGTAGACGCCAGGCTGGACGACTGAGCTACTTTCGCAGGTTCCGGCTTGGCGACGTCGCAATTGCTGGGCGCACTCACCTGCGTCTGCCCTTGGTTACTGCTGCCGCCGCCACAAGGAGAGCCACCTCCACCCTGCATGAATACGGTGCGAAAATCTGCCGATTCCGGCGCCACGGTGCTGCTTTTCACCTGGATCCGCTTCGCCGTGTCGTCCAAAGAACTTAGTTCTTGCTGCTGCTGGTGCCTCGACGTCAAGGTCACGGTGGCTGGAGAACGCAAGTCCAATTCGCCACAAGCAGCGCTCGACGCATCGACCCCACCGTTCCCAGCGGCTGACGAGCTGCTGCTGTTGCTGCTGCTGCTGCTGCTGCGAACGCTTCCGGCGCTATTACGTATGGCGCTTGTGCTGCCGCCGGCAATACTGCTACCACTGGCGTAACTATCAATTTGACTACTATTTCCTGAGCAAACTCGACCTCCACTCAGCCCAGGAGAAGTTGCAATCGCTGCGACCGCTGCGACTGCTGCTCCCACCGGTGCGCTTGCTGCTCCAGCAGCCACGACGGTTCCCAACAAAGCGGCGCTCTTGGCGCGTGAGGAGAATTGATCCGCGGCGCGCGACGGGCCCGTCGTCGATCCAGAGGCGGCGGCAGCGGCAGCGGAGCAGGCTACTATCCTGGCGGTGGCGCCGGCGGCTTCACGCGGAGCTACGTGGAGCAGCGAGCTTGCCATGCCTCAGCAGAACGCTGCGAGGTAACATCGTCCGCGCTGATTACTCTACAAGTAGTGGAAAGAGCGGGGACACGGCGCGGGGCAGACACGACCCTTGGATAAAAGTTCCTGCGACTTTTAATTTCTCTACTGGATCAAGAGCAAGGAAACCGCGTAGTGTACGGCCGAAGGAGAAGCGACGCGAGGAGAATAAGGAGGGTGAAGAACGGGTAAGCGGCAAGGTGCTGTAAAGGTTCAGATCAGGAAAGATAGAGGTGGTGCGAGGGAAAGAACCTCTTTTCCTGAGAGTCGATGGTTGGACAGAAGCGAGAGAATTGCGGATCTCGGACCTAGACGCACGACGGGATGCGAGGTGCATCCATCAGGCGACGGAGTCCGACGGCGACGGGCCTACGATCGGAATTTGAGCGAGATTGGTCGACGACGTGTCGGTCGCAGTTGATTCGTTAACAATTCTGACAGCAGCTTCTCCGTCGTGTGTTAGCAATCAGTTGAGGAGGGTCGTGATGGATGGGACGTCAGCCGTGCAGGTTCTATGAGTAAGATGTTAGAATCGTGGACCCGATTACTAAGCGGAGTGAGTCTACTGGAGTCTGATGGGACGCTAATTCAGGGTCGCGCATACAGCGGAACAGTCGGGTCGATGGACAGTCGCAGGCCGAGCGAAGAGATCGGAGCTAAGCTTGATGGGAATTTTGGGCGCGGGAGGGACGACAAGTACCAGAAAGAAAAGTAATTCGAGTCGATGGGGAGGAAGCAAGTTTTGACGGTGCCTGGGGTTCAATGAACCAAACGTTCTGACTGCTAGCAGAGGAGATGCAGGGGGGGTGTAGAGTACGAGCCTTGGGATGGGCGAGGTGGCGAAAGTTGAGAGGCCCTTGAAATCTAACAGGGAACATTGCGCCAACACCACCCAACCGAACCAACCTCGATGCTTTTTGCTCATCATCACATGCGCACCAATGATCATGTCCTGAACTGCTAGTGGAGCAGAGGGAAGCCTGAGCTGGGCCCTTGCCTGCTTGCCCATGCTGTGCCATGGTGCCATCCAAGCCATGTCATGATGTCATGCCATGCCAGCAGCAGCACCACCCCAACTTCCGCCCTCCCTCGTTACGATGGGCCCAAAGCCAAGCCAAAGCAACCAATTCGTCGCGTCTCATCTCATACACTCCCGCTTCCGTCGGATCAGAGGGATGATGATGAACTCGAGGGGATGAATCACCGCTGTCGTGCAGCACAAGGCTCCTGTGGGTCGTGTCTCGCTCGCTCGCTCGCCCCCTCCTCCCGCCCCGTCACCTGTCTACACCTCAACCCCGCCTCCTCCCAACCAGAGCCTCAGATTTTGCCTTGAAGCCGCTAACCGCCCCCCTACAGAAGTTGCCGCGACTCGTCATCATAAAACTGGGGGAAATTATACGCGCTGTCACAATTATGGCCGTATTATCACGTTTGGTCACGGGGTTATCACGGACAGTCACAGTACAGTACTTCGCTATCACGCATGATCACAGCGCTATCACGCTTGATCACTCATCGCCCCGCAGGGTTATCACGTTTGGTCACTCGTTGAAACGCCCGCCAAAAAGTCGAAACTCTCAAATCTACTGTACAGATTCGGGTACTTTTATCTCGCGCGCGTTTTGTCTGTAGTGAAAAACGTGATGTGACTGTCGAAATATACTCGGTCCTTGTTAGGGACCGATGCAGTTTAATGCAGAGTCCGCATTTTGCAGTGAATATACGCGATCAATAGCAGTTTCAATTATATAATCACTATTCTCTTTGTAATTGATACCTTGACATTATGTTTTGCACACGCAGTAATAAATAACCCAATTACACAATGTCATTTGCATATCAACCACCAGTCAATCTTGGATTTGAGTAGGCATACGATATGGTGAATTAAACAAGCTACAGGGAGGGAGGTATCAGAGGTAATTCTCCCTCTAGCGAGCGCTTGCCTGCAAGCTAACGTAAAGGGCAAGAGTTTACAGAGGCAACAATCAAATGATATAATGTAAACTCTTGCCCTTTACGTTAGCTTGCAGGCAAGCGCTCGCTAGAGGGAGAATTACCTCTGATACCTCCCTCCCTGTAGCTTGTTTAATTCACCATATCGTATGCCTACTCAAATCCAAGATTGACTGGTGGTTGATATGCAAATGACATTGTGTAATTGGGTTATTTATTACTGCGTGTGCAAAACATAATGTCAAGGTATCAATTACAAAGAGAAGAGTGATTATATAATCGAAACTGCTATTGATCGCGTATATTCACTGCAAAATGCTGACTCTGCATTAAACTGCATCGGTCCCTAACAAGGACCGAGTATATTTCGACAGTCACATCACGTTTTTCACTACAGACAAAACGCGCGCGAGATAAAAGTACCCGAATCTGTACAGTAGATTTGAGAGTTTCGACTTTTTGGCGGGCGTTTCAACGAGTGACCAAACGTGATAACCCTGCGGGGCGAGGAGTGATCAAGCGTGATAGCGCTGTGATCATGCGTGATAGCGAAGTACTGTACTGTGACTGTCCGTGATAACCCCGTGACCAAACGTGATAATACGGCCATAATTGTGACTGCGCGTATAATTTCCCTAATACTGGCGCGAAAACAGAGAGACCTGAGCAAACGACGTGGGAGAATCTTCACCGTCCAATTACCAGGTTCGAAGTTCGACGGCACTCCCCTGGCCTGTCTAAACAACAGTGCAAGGGGGATCTTTTCGCTTTGGCACTTCATCAGCCAGGGGTGTACAGTGCCCGCTTCTCATGAAGCTTCCACGTCACGTCTTGTGAAAAGGGTGTCGAAGCATCGAGCCCGCCGCCGCACGGCACTGCACAAGCTTGGGAAGGGTATCAACCCTGTACACCAGCATTTTCACACCAGCCCCCTACAGCCAGCAGTGTGCTGATTCCCACCAGCGATGAGCCAGCACAGATTTTAGTGGTGTGGTCCCACGCACAAAGTGGAAGTTGAACGTCTTGTATTTTCGCGATTCTACACGTGTATTGTCAACGCATCTCTGGTACGGTACAGTACAGTATTTTGAAAGCGTTTCGAGTCCGAACCGTGACACAATCAAAACCAAAACCCCGAGAACTAGCGTGCCAGAGTGGCAGACAGGACGCCCACGGAGGCGAAAACTTGTCTGATGCGGAAACGGCCACCAAGGCGTAGAGCCAACAAACCTTCGTGTCGGCGCCTCGATTAAAGAACCTTTCTGACTGGAACATTTGGCGGAACAACGGAGTGGCCGTGTCCATTTTTCTTCAGAAACGCCCTTGTAGGCTTTGTTAGTGGTAATAACATAGGGAAATCAATCAAATTATCTGCAACAAGTCCGACCGTCTGTATATTTTAAAACGGACGGTCCTCATATCGAGAAACGGACCGTCCGATGTGACGTTCCGGAACCTTGCCACCGTCCGGAGAGAAACGTGACACTTTTTTGCTTGTGCTCCGACTTCGCGACTACTGTAGTCTCGCGCAGCTCCCGCAGAACTGTCTGCGCCATCAAATTGAGTCCCAAGGATACTAAGAGCGTGTCTCCCGACCGTACGATGCCGCCATGGATTCCTCCGCGTAACTTCGGAAGCCTGTTACGTGAAGGTTACCTATCAGTTGGTAACAATGAGCACAGTTCTACATTCCTGAGTGCATTGCGAAGCAGAAGATATTTTTATCGTGTCCATCCCGCGGACATTTTATCTTCAGCTACTCGGGTCAGGCTCACTGTTTCAACGTTTTATCAAGATCAACTATTACCTAGGCTTCAAGACATTGAATTCAACAATGACGTCAAGGTTTTTTCCGCACACAACTACCAAGGCTGCAATTTACAACATAAGAGTTACAACTTGGATCAGGCTGCTCATGATCCCAAGGTCTCAACAGCGGGAACTCAGCACATCGCTCAGGAGATCAGAGCCCGAGCTTTCGGGATATTATTTAAGGAGGTGGTGCTCAGTTTCTCGGCAGCTCAAGTTTCTGTGTTCATTATTCCCATCCTGAAGCTTTTTCCATCACGACTGCTGCTTTTTTGGTTTCATCACTGCACCATGCCTCCTAAGGGTCGTCCAGCGAAGGCTCCTGTTGAGGTCAC